GTCTGGAAGGGAGACCGGCCTCTTCCCGGATCCGCGCCGAGGGCGACCGTGATGCTGCAGAAGCGGCCGCCGCTGCTTTCCGCGCTCCAGACCCCAGCGCCCGCCTTCTGCAGGGGAAGCCAGTATGGCTATAGGTGGTAACTTGCCGCTCGGCCACTTCCCCTAAAAGAAATCCTTGGAAAAAGTTGCATTCAAAAAATTCCTCACGCTGACCTTTGGGGCCGCGGGGCCGAAGAGACGTGCACGGTATTGCAAGAAAGAAAGCAAAAGGTGTGTGTGCATGGGGGGCCGGCGTGGGGGGGGCCCTGCGCTGCCACTTCGCTGGGCGTCGTGCTGAGGCGCTGGCTCTGCCCCCCAACCCCCCTCCACGGGACTCCTGCGATGAGCCCCTGCGGGCTGGCCCGCCGACACACGTCCAGAGGGGCCATGGCAGTACTGGCCTGGAAGTTCCCGCGGACCAGGCTGCCGGTGGGGGCCAGTGCCCTCTGCGTCGTGGTCCTGTGCTGGCTCTACATCTTTCCGGTCTACCGGCTGCCCAACGAGAAGGACATCGTGCAGGGGGTACTGCAACAGGGCACAGCGTGGAGGAGGAACCAGACAGCGGCCAGAGTCTTCAGGTACTCCTGCCTTCCCAGGTTTTCCCTAGGGTCCTTCCTACCCCAGTCTCTCTTCAGGGTGCAGAGGACAGTGTCACCTGCGAGGACTGTGTCCCTCTCAGCCAGCCCTTATCCCACTCCCTTTCTTGCCATTCTCCACCTGGAGACTTGAGTCAAAGGCCCTCTCAGTGGGCAGTCTTTGCTTTGCCCCATTAAAGCCTAGGGACATTTCTTCCCAAACCTGAGTCGTATTCAGCAATATTTGGGAAGGAGATCCCAGGCTAACTTTGTCCCTTGGACTTAAAGAGAATTTATTTATCTCATGGGTTCTGCAGACTTCTGAAGCGATGAAGAGCTAGGGGCAGGGAGGAGAAGCATGTGTGAAGGCATCTTCCTGGGGTAGGTGAATACTTGGTAACACATCACTAATGAAGGAGTGATGGGTGAACGGTTGGGCAGTACAATTATGGACACCAGTGGGGATCCTGCTGTGGGGTGCATTGTACCTGCAAAAATGCAGTGCACTGACTGATGCCCTACTAAGTGTCACCTGAGTGGTTTTTATGATGAAGTCTCTACACTTTGTGTTGACAATATTATCCCCCCATTTTACTGATATCACCCTGAGTCTCCAGGAAGGTGAGCTACCTCCCCAAGGTCATGCATCTTTGTAGTGTGGAAGCTGGAATTTCATGAGTTGCTGTTGGAAAACACCCAGGTGCTCTTATGGGGCTTAGCCTGTGGAAGCCTGGTGGGAGGAGGGGGACACAGTGTAGGTAAGGACTTAAACACAAACCCCAAAGTAAAAACCAGGTTGTTTTTACTTGAACTCCCATTGATCACCTAAAGGTTGTAATTTCCCTTTCTGAGAATTACAGTTTAAGTGTCTAAAAATAAGCTGTTGGCAGCAGGGGTGGTAAGTGAGATTGGAGGGAAGGCAAATCGGCTTCTTCTTCCTCTATGCTTCCCTGGGCTTGAACAGGGGACCCAGCAGTGGAGTTTCCCACTGCCAGGTACCCCATCACCTTCCAGCCCTAGGATGAACAGGCAGGCTCTTCCTGTGACTGGAGGGCTTCCTTTTTGTTCTGTATCATCTTAAGCAGTGTGTGGGGCAGGTGAACGCCAAAAACAGCATTTTCACCCCTGCCAGTCATAATGTTCAGAAACTCCTGTAATCTGAAATAAAACTTTTTAAACATATGGTTTTATTCCCCTCCTTGGCTGCTCAAAGAAAGAAGGTCAAAGAGACACTAGCCAGTTCTCTTAGAGGAAGGCAGCTGAATTCTTAAACAGAGAAGACTTTCCCTCTTTATAGAATTCGAAGTTTTAAACACCCTCCCCCCGACTCCCTTTAAAAGTATATCAAAGGTAATTTTCTCTCACCATGTAGGTATTGATTATTAGACTCAAAAAGCCATGGTAGCATCTAGCAGTTCTTTCTCTAAAGAGGGAAAGCAATGTCATTTCAAGTAATACAAGGAAACAAGTCAAGAACTTCCTGTTGGTTTGCAATCAAAGAGTCCATTTTTTTGTATAGGAGGTGGAATAATCAAGCTCTGTTAGAGCATAGATTTCTCTGGGAGGACACAATCAAGTGGAAAATGACTCATGTTCTGAGAAACACAGGCTGATGATAATTTCTGAGACAAGGAGCAAATGTATCTGTAGCCTGGAGTCACCTTCAAGAGTATGTCTGTCATAGCCTTTGTGCAGAGAAACCCATACATCATGAAAGTGCCCAAAACACATATCCCTCAAAGCTAGTACTTGTGAAACTGTCAGAGGCACCACTGTTTGTTACAGAGTTTAGACTTCCATGTAGAATCCTGAGGTTTTTTTTTTTTTTTTTTTGTCTGACTGTTCCACTCTTCCATAAACAACAGAATGTCTTTGGCAGGTTACTCTACCTCTTTGAGTCTTTGTTTCTTTATTTGTAAATGGGGATAATAACATCTACCTTTAAATTAAAACAACAGCCACAAAAATGATGCCCGGTATCTGGCACATTTATCCAGTCAGGGTATCATTGTCATAGTTACAAGTGAAATTTGTTTGCATGTTACAACAAAGTAAGTAAGGACAACTGGTCTGCCCATAAGAATTTGGAATGCTTCATCTGGTAAACTTGCAGAGAAAGGTAATTTTCCAAGATCCTGCCTCTTCCCACACATACTCTTACATCTAATAGACAGAGATAGGAAGTGGTTTTTTTTTTTTAAAGATCTATTTATTTATGCCTATAGAACTGGGGTACAGGCCAGAGGGGCAGGGGCAGTGAGAGGATTCACCAGAGACAGAGTGGGGAGCAGGACAGGCCAACTGCCGAAGTACACCGCTGAGGGGAGCAGCGGGCAGGTCAGGAGAGGTCTGCCACGCCATGTTTGTCACCCCCAGGGCGGGGATCGAACTCATGTGAAAGTGGGTTTAGCTTCTTAGTGCTGTGCTTTAACCCGCTGTGCCACCAGGGAGGGCCTGACATGGGAAGTTTTAATAAATCATCACCATTTTGTGTTTTGTTAAGTCAAAATACTGTTTTTACTCTGCATGTTTATTAAAGTCCATTGTATTTTAATGTATTTTATTTTAGTTGCTGGGTACTATAGTATGTTTGTTAAATGCTGCAGAGATCAGCCAGAAGCCTGCATTATGTTAGGGCATTAAGGAGACACAACTTTGGCAAATAGGTATCTGTGTTTTCTATTCAGAAATATCTTCTGTGCAAATATAAATATATAAGCACAAATGTACAATGCGTACTGGGTAGGAATATATGCATACCTATCCATAAAGCGTGGAATGATGTCATGTGTATTATAAACATCTGTGCATACTTGCTGCATCATATAAATCATTATAATCAGTCAGTTGGCTGGTACTCAATGAGTGACAACTCTGCCAGATAAGAGTTATCCCTGGGGGACAGCAGTGAACACGTGGGCCGACTGCATCCAGAGTGAGACAGCTTACCTCCTACTAGGAGCTACTGATGAAATCGAAGAAAGAGGAGGTTTAAAATGCAGAGGAAAGTAATTCACGGTTTATGAGCACTGGAATTTAAGATGACATTTTGCCCATTTACTTTCATTATTTTTGTAATTTTTCCTCCTAGATCAGAACTTAAATACTGACTTCTCAGGAAGGACCCTTGACAAGTTCTATGGGAGAGGTCAGGGAGAAAGTTACAAAGCTGCAAGAGTTTTGTTCTAACCAAGAAGCTTTCCTGACGTCCACACGACCATAGAAAGATAGAGAAATTCCATCGTAGAAACAAGATTCTGCATCACTTGTTGCTTCTGATGGAGCAGGGAAGAGTGCTGAGAAGTGCCAAACCAAGGTGGCATTTGCCTCCATTTCATTTGCTCTTCAGATAGATGAGAGCCCTCCTGATTGTGCGGCAGATTAGGACGTAGCCCTGCAAGCTAGCCACCAGTGCTTCAGTGCGAGTTCGATCTCCTGCCCAGGAGGTGACCACATGGCACTGCAGACCTCTCCTGCCCCACCCGCTGCTCCCTGTAGTAGTGTACTTCGTCAGTCAGCCTGTTCTGCTCCCCACTCTGTCTCTGGTGAAGCCTCTCACCGCCCCGTGCCACTGGCCTGTACCCCTGTATGCATAAATAAAGAAATCTTTTTACTAAAAAAAGATGTATTTATTCATACAGAAGTGGAGTGCAAGCCAGAGGTACAGGGGCGGTGAGAGGCTTCACCAGAGACAGAGCGGAGAGCAGA